TTAATGATTATTAGTTAATGTATGGTAATAATAATATAATATAAAATAAAAATAATAAAAAAATTTATATTTAAATAATTATATATTAATATATATTAAGAACATATTTTTATTTAAATAATAAATTAATATGATCATATTTTTAATTAAATTATTAATTTATTTTTAAATAATATATAAAAAATAAATAAATTATTTATAATATAATTATATTTATATTTAAATAAATAATTATTATAAATTAAAATTTTATATTTAATAAAATAAATAATAAATTATGAGAATAAAAATAAAAATAAAATTTTATATTTAATAAAATAAATAATAAATAATAAATTATGAGAATAAAAATAAAAATAAATATATTATATTAGAGTAAAAAAATAATAATATGTCAGTCATATACTACCGATTCAGTAGTTTTAAAATTTATCTTAAATTTATCGGCATATACCTTTTATTACTATTAAAAATTAAAATAAATATGATTTTTTCACACTCATGAAATATCATACATTAAAATCTTATCATTTATTACGATCCAAATAGAGTATTAATCGTCTGTATCGAACACATAAAGAAAAATGAATATCCTCGTAATATTTTTAAGAAAAAATAACGATTATCTTTTTTTAAATAAAAAATATTAAAAGGTTAGTTCTAACTTTTTATTTCAGTAAACTTTTTTATATATTAATAAATTAATTTGTAGCTAATTATTTTATATTTAATTTTTTTTAAATTTTTGTATTATTTTATTTTATAAATTTAATTTTTATCGAATTTTTTAAATTCTTTTTACTTTCAAAACTTATTCATATTAACTTATGTCTATTAATTTTTATTAATATTGCTAATATATTTATCATATATCATATAATATTATTTAATTAAATAGTTACTCAGTTTATATATTATACGATAATTAATAAATTAAAAATAATTTAATTAAAATTAAAATTTATTTAATATTAAAAATACATTAATGCAAAGTTAGTCAGAAATATATTGATGTTATTTCAAGATTAATAACTTCAAATTAAGCTACTCTGATTATTTTAATTTTTTTCAAATTGAAAAGTTATACAATCTCTGTATTCTCTTTCTTTTGAAACATGTAAATTATTTAATTTTTGAATATGTTAGGAGATTAATAAACTACGTCTGGAGAGTTATTTATCATATTTGTATAAGAAATTTATGAAAAAATGAAGTATTGAATGTGTTGTTGAATTTTGATGATTCTCTGTACGGGAAAAACTTTAAATATCATTTGAAAAGTATAGTAGAGACTGGTATAAAATTTATGATAAGTGAAAAAACTGATGAGATTGAAGCAGAAGAAAAATCAAAACATGTGTAACTAATTAGGGGAGAAGGTGGTTTAATGAATGAACGTTTAGTGTTTGTTAAAATTATTAGAATAAAAGATTAGCTTGAGAATATGACTGTCCTTCTTACACAATATAGTAGGTTCCAATTGTGATCTTTCTAGCGACACAGTCAACTTGAATCCTACATATTCAATGAAATTGTATATATCCTTTTCTCATCTTATGTTTGAAAGTAATGGATGTAAAGGAAAAAAACAGAATTTGCAGATTCTAGGAGGATTGACCATATGTCACTAAGCCATTTATTTATCATACAAAAACAAAAAAATCTCCAAAAATATGACTTTGGTTGCTCATAGCATGTAGATTCATCCTCTACTCTCCTAAAAATAAGTTTTCGAACCTTATTGGGATATTCTTGCTTCTCTATCTATCAGCCTTTATAAGCTCCACTTCAACATGGAAGTGAAAGACCGTCTAATTTACATATGCACTAACAAAGCCTTTATAAGCTTACTTCTTCCAGGAGAAAATTAATGCTGCAGATTTTTCTGTTTATTTCCATGGAATCTCCAGCATCTGTCTGGGAACTGCATTCCAGCTTTTATAATGCTCTATCAATCCTCTCTCTCGAACAGATTGAGAGAATTACTAGGTGTGAGATCCCTTTATATAATAGTTCCATCTTCTATTGTCGCCTTCTCCACTATAACAGTTATTCCAGATCGAATGTAGAAACCCTCCTCTGGCCTATCTGACTCTTGAACACCCTGAAAAACGTAGAGTAGATAATGCTCCGAACCTGAACAATTTATGTACAAATGTAATGCAGACTTTAATGCTTACATCTTTATTCATGATAACCACGTTTTTTCCTATCTTAGCATTCTTGTCAATTATGCAGTTCCTTCAAAGAAAACAATAAGACCATCATCAGTGCTTGAGATACTAATATGTCATTGAATTAATTTTTTTTTCTTCTTTTTAATTACTTGATTTTCGTGTCCCGTCCAATCCCCATCGGCACCTTTCCTTCTGCTAGGAGAGCTGCAATTTCAGATTCAGTCTGGTAGTAGTCTGCACCCAGCATCAACGTATCCTGTGAAAGAGATACATATCGAGAAGAATGCGTTAGTGACATTCTTATGCTTAGATGAGAGTTAAAAGAGCTTCTCTTCGTTTGAAGAGTAGAAATTGGAGATATGAGAATTTACCTGAAGCTCAACACCGTAATCTAAGCGTGATCTTTCGCCTACTATGGAATGTTGGACAGTACATTCCCTCAAGAAACATCCATGTGAGATTATGGCATCTACAATCTGAAAAGGGCAACAAAAGCATGAGAAACAAGAAAAACTCAATGATGACGCAATTTTAATCCTGAATAAGTCAGCACACCTTGCATTTTTCGATTTTGGTTGGTGGTAAAAAGCGAGGAGATGTATAGAAGGGCGTTTGAGGGTCATAAAATTCAAACCTTGGAATCTGCGGAAAACAGGCATATTGAAGATGTTATCATTCAGCTAAAAAAGATGCATCATCAATGAAGAATTAAAGATCAGAATTCTTTAGATACTAATTTGCTTGGGTGTTAAACAAATACTTGAAATGCCAAAGAAACTGAAACTGAAGTGCCTTTATTTCTCTTAAGCTCTCTTGGAAGAAATCAACAATTTTTATGTATTTCAATCATGAGGCAATGGAAATTCTATTAGATGATGCTAAAAATTGATCTTCTCAAAAATTGTGGCTACGCTGTTCTCCTTGTGCATCATTTCACCTTTTAACATATCTACTGCAGAATCGATATACGGCATGATGAATTAATCCAAAAGCCTAAGTTGATTGAAGAAGTAGTCCCATTTTTCTAAAATTCATATTACAATACAGTGCTATATGCACAAAGCTCCCTAGATTAAGATCGAACCCAAAAGTTTTTGATAAAAATTGCTCAACTTTAATACTTTTGACTGGGGGAACTGAAGGTATAAGAAAAGCAAAAGTGTTGCTTGAACACTAAAAGTAAAAGCAACCTCTTCTGTTAGGGCGAGATTTGCTTCATAGAAAGACTTTATTGTCCCAATGTCGTCCCAATAGTCTCTAAAAATATAAGCCTGTGAAAAGAAGAAAATTCAATGATAAGGTATTTATATCTTAGACAACAAAAATTGAACAAAAATGCATTTCAACTTGTAGATTTGTCTTACTTGCACGTTGTGCTCCATTACAGCGGCAGGGATTATTTCCGATCCGAAGTCATTCGCAGTGGGATACCTCCACGTGAGGAGTTTCAATAGAATATCCGTCTTAAACAAGTAGACTCCCATTGATGCAATATATGGGGATTTCATGGCTTCTTGAGGAGGCAAACCAAGAAGAGAAGTATCCGTTTGCTGCAAAGCATCACAAATTTATTCATAACTGGAAAAAATCTCATGTCCATCCTGGAAGAAGTCTCATGTCCTAGGTTGTTACCATTGCTCGCAGGTCGGCATCTCTTGGTTTTTCAGAAAACTGGACAATGCGACCTCTGTTGTCCATCTTAACCAATCCATAATCTGATGCACGGCTGAAAATTATGCAGTCAACTTTAGATTGAAAGAGTGATAACTAGAAAGCAGGAATATTTCCGTTCCTTTTTTTTTTTCTAAAGTACTAGCACTCCCATGGTACCATATAGTGAGTAAGGCAGAGCATTATATGATAATTAGAAATAAAGATTAGCAAAGAAGATAATCCTTCAAGAACAAGACAATTGGAAAAACGGCAATCTCAAGAAATGAAGAGATGGAACAGACCTATCTCCAACTGCTGCACAAGAAATTGTGATATCAGCATTTCTGTCAACATGGTACTGCAATTGCATTGCCAAACAAAATTTTAGAATTATTGTTAGGGAGCATGAATTAAATTGGGAAGACATTTGCTTACCTGCACAAAGTTCATATAATCCATTCTGTAGAGATGATCCCCGGACAGAATTAGTATATTCTCAATGTTCCGATTCTTAGCATCCTACAAGAATCAATGAAATTAATAAATTTCACTAGACAGTCGAAGTGCATGAGCTGTTAGACATTCTCTTCATTCAATTAGTAGTTGTTTACAGATGACAGATCAAAGTGTCTTACGCACATGACTTAACTTCTCTTAAATTTATACCTCAAACACCCATATGAATTGTCTCACAGCATCTGCAGTCCCTTGAAACCACTTCTTTCCAGCTTCTCCCGGTGTTTGTGTAGCAGCCAAAACCTGTTAATTATCAAGTGTGTCAGTGATTCATCAAATGATCAAGGCATTATAACAAAACTATCTGCTTGGTAAACAAATCCCTTAGGTTCTGGTTGGCAGGGTGGAGAAGAAGGAAGTCTGACTTATTTGTGGAATTAGTACCATTTTGTACCAGATCATTTGTTGATCTTCTGTGCACCAACTAAATCAAACACCTTGATTCATCTAAAGATTTCCTTACCTCCACAAATCCATCACCAAAGTTGATACCATTTCCAAAGTATGTCCGTGCTAGATGGCGATTAAGTGAAGCAGAATTGAATTGGGTCAGCACAAAAATTTTGTTTATGCCGCTATTGATACAGTTGCTCATCGGAATATCTATAAGCCTATAACATCCTCCCACTGGAACCTGCAGATCTTACTATGTCAATGCATGAGCAACATGTACATCTAAGAAGAAGAAAAGTACTGCTATTGATGTCAAAAAGCATACACAAAAATAGTTAATAATCTAAATTCTTTAATCAAGTAATAGTTCTTACAGCTGGTGTTGCTGCCCTTCGGGTAAGAGGAAACAGATGAGTCCCAGCTCCACCTCCTAATATAATTGAGGCCACATTTTTTGGATCTGCTTTCGGTCTCTCGAAAATTGCTGGTTGGTGTACAGTCTAAAAATAAGATTTCATTTCAACAATAAGATTCGAAAGTATACATCAAATACTCCCAAAAAAAAAAACATATATAATCTATAAATATCCTCAGAAAATGGAAAATGGTGCAGTCGGTCAGCTTACAAGAGTCTCTCTGGCGCCATTTTGTGATGTTAGAACGGCATATGCGATACTGGGCTTCATGTTGTTTGCTCTCTTCTCGGCTCTTAAGCTTTTCGCAAGCTGACTAACCAGAACATTGTTGTTTAAGCTTCCTCTGATTTTCTGCCCCCAAAATCCATAATTCCCATTGTTGAAATCATTTTTGCCTACTTTTGGTAAATGGGCATTGACTTGTAACGCACAGCAGCAAGAATTCATCGTGTGATTGCCTTAGGTCTATCTCCAAAAAACAATGATGAACCAAGGAGGAAGACGATTATGATAAAGTAACACTCAAATAGAACTTACGAAAAATCCTGATAAAAGTTCAGTTCTAACCTTAAGGAACCAAGTAAAGTGTGGATCACTCAAACAATCGAAATGACAGATGGTATCGTGTCCATTTTCAAAGTTACGTAATATAATATGCAAAGACCAACGCAAAATGTATAAACTGAGACAAAGTATCCCAAGACTTCCTAAGGACACTTTTCTTAAGCACATAGATTATCAAATTTACTTAATAACCAAACCATTGCTATGCTGTAAGGGATCATGGAAACAGAACAGGACGCCGAAGTTGGGAATCACCAATACTATATGTAGGAGATTATAGAAGTGATAAAGAAAAGTTTAGATGACTGAAAATGGAAGTAATGATAAAAAAAAAAGGGAGAGAGGAAAATGCGTGAATGATGGTGGATCTTGTCACTACCTTTATTGGCCTGTGAGCTCTCACGAGAAGATCAAGAAAGGGAGAGAGTGAAATGCGTGAATGATGGCGAAGCTCGTCCCGACCTTTATTGGCCTGTGCGCCCTCACGAGAAATCCTGCAGTCTTGGTATATGTAATTTTCTTTAATATAATTACACTGCATGTATACAATAAGGAAGTAAAAAAAAAAAAATCACCGTGAAACCATCGTCACCACCTTCCTATCTTAAAGGTGCTACGAGTATGTATTAGCGAGTCAACCTTTTTATTTATAGACCAAGTTTGTAGGCTCCTCCTCTCTGCATGCCCAGAAGACAGACTCCATTACCAGCCAGACACTTGGCCGTTTAACTCATATTTTACAAGCTGTTAAACGGGACAAAAAGGCCCGTTAGATTTGGTAAATTGAGAATTTTCACGTGTATCTTTTCTTTTCATTTTCGTCAATTTTCTTGGAATAGGTTTAAAATTACTTCAAATTTTTTAAAAATAATTTTATATATTTAATTTAATTTTCTTATAACTCATATCTACAATGATTTGATTAGATGATAACCAGTGCAAGTGGTTAATAAAAGATAAAAGAGGATTAGGCATTGGAAAGGAATGAACTATGGTGTGTGTCGGATAAAATACAAGCTCAGCAAAAGACTCCAAGTACATGATGGCGTGCCCCATGTTTTTTGAAGACATGGAGAAACATTCTGAGCCGAACATGTGTCATGAAACAGCGTGAGAATGGGTGTGTCAGTATTAATTATACTGAGTAAATCACTTGAAGTGGGCCCGTCATTTATGTGCGTAAATAGCAGCCGTTGAGTTGAAGGCCCATAAAAATCAGGCCACTATGGGTGAATGATAGAGGCACAAACCAAGTGGAAAACAACAAAACAATATGACAAATTTTCACGTGCCCTACTAGTAAATCATCAACTCCGCTGAAGGAAAAATTATAGATTGATACTATCGATTTGATATTTTAAAATTTGATGTATAATGTAAATAAAATACATTTGTACTAATTACAAAATATTCATATAAATCTTCTAATGACTAAAAAAGAAAAGATGTCCAAGGAAATATCAGCGCTACTTAATTTTGACTGACGTGGGCAATGATCTAATATTTTTTCACATGTCGGGGGCAATGTTACATACAAATATGTGATTTACAATTTTAATGTTTATATTAATAAATTAAAAATGTAAAAAATTAATAATTTTACTTCTCTTCTAATCGAGTTTACTTTGAAATTTTGAACAAAATTGTTGAATCGAGTTTACAGGAAAAGGTGATTTTTTTGGTGTCATTATTGGTGAGGGTCTATGAAAAATTATTGGACCTTTCTATTTCTGACATCTATAAGAATTAGGAGATTATTATTTTTTACTATTAATTTATTTTTTTATGTGTCATATCTTTTTATAATTTTTTTTAATAAATTTTTTTTTCTAAAAAAATAAATTATTAACAAATTTAAAAAAGTACACAATAAAACTAAAATAAATGTATAAAATCCCTAATAATAGTGAATCTTGGCAAATAACTTATGTGATTCATTAGGGTAATTCTTGATCCCTGTTTTTTCAATATTGAATTGTTAGTAGGTTCTTTAGAAAGCCTAATTGTTCGAAGAGTGAGACGTGTATTTTGCGTGGTTGAGAAAGTGAAATTCTTTTTAAAGTTTCATATTTTATTGCAAGTTGGAGGCCAAATTGTGTTATCCTTCTAGAAATTTTGTGTTACGTGTTTTAGGAGGGAGGAGTCCAACAGTCGCCTCTTCCTGCACTATAATGTGGATTGGGTGAGGAAGACGAAAAATAATAAATTAGTGATTTAATATGAATTTAGTATTAGATCATTTGTTGAAATTCTAAATAGTTTATGTGTTATGTCGGATTCTTTATAATGACTACTGTAATAATAATAATTAACCAAAATAATATTTATAGTTATAGAATTGATTTAAAATAAAGACAAGCGAGTAGATAAGGTAGTTGCATTTTGTCTCTTATTTGGAGCATTTGCTGCTTATATTTTCTTGTGTTTGCAAATGACAAAATTGGAAACTTATTTATTGCTTAAATTGTGACAAAAATAACAATTTTCTTGTTACCAAGAATGAGAAAACATATTTCTTCTTTATCTAACTATTTATTTCTTGAGTGTTGTTCTTTGCCTTTTTAAAAAGTATGTTCTTTGTTCCATCAATTGCTCTATTTGTGTTTCATTTGATGAGTGCATTAGAGTAAAAAATATATTTTGATTGTTAGTCATCATGTTATAAATGGTTATGGGTTGACCCATGCTGTTTTAGTTAGAAAATTAGGATTTGGTGGGTGGAGGGTGCTCCGATTGGTTAGTTAAGAGCTTTTAAGTGAACGAGAGAGTTGCAATTCATGCAAACATAAAATAAAGAGATCATTTAGAATATTATTATAGGAAAGAAGGAAAATTATTGATTAGATCAAATTCATTTTCTCAAGATATCCTCTCCCATTTCGTAAGTTTTATTTCTCTTTAATAAAGTTCTTCACAAAAAAAAAACGAAGAATGATAAATATAATAATATAATTTTTCAGCCTATATTTAATTTTTTTAATAATTTTGATGTATTAATTCATGAGAATATGTTAATTCTAATAAATAGAATTATTTCTTACGTCTGCAAGGATTTATAACTATCTTTTCTTTTTTTGTCTGTATTATCAAGTAATTTCTTTTCGAGATGATAAAAGTCTGGACAGTATAAATAATTAATAATATAATATTTTAAAGAAAGTAGTAGAATCTCAAGTAGTTTATTTAAAAAATAAGAATTTGTAGGTATAAATAGTATAGTCGAATTTTAAAAAAGAGTTCGTATTCTCTTTTATTTTAATTGTTATTAATTGTTATTTGATTTCACAAACTCACTTGCATTATATATATATAATCACTGAGTAAACATGTCGCTATTTATTGTTTGTAATATTATATTTAAGAATCAATGTTAATATATTGCATAAATTAATTGGTAAAGATTTTCACATAAGAAAATATTTTTCTCTTAGTGGTAACACATAAAAGAAAAAGTTAAAATTTTGTTCTAAAAGCTTCAGAACTTTTAAAACACATTTCAACTCTCCATTAGTCGTTTTATCTAATTGATGTGGGTTGATATGTTCATAAATGTGATCAGTTGATAGTAAATTTCCTTCTTCAAAATCGTTTTCAATTCCCAAAATGCCTTGGACTTCATTCATGATGTTGTCATTTTCTCCATGATTGTAATCTTGTTTGGCATTGCAGGATGTATGAGTTGCATTTAATTAATTAATTACTCTAGTACCCATATGCCACTGAAAATGCAAAAGCAAGAAGAATATTGCACATTGGCAGCTTTGAACTCCAATTTTCGCTCTGTATAAATTTTCTTCTTTGAAAGAGAATTGTTTCATTTATATTTTTCGTTTATGTATATAGACCGTATATATAATACAATATTGCATGGGTAAAAAGTTCATAAGCTTTTTCATAAATCCCATTTTTCTCCATTTGTCATAGCTTTAAAGCTCTTCTTTTTTCTTGTTCATTTTTGTTCCATCATGAGCAAATACTTTGTTATGTGAATATGATGAGCAGGAAAAAATATAAACTGTTAGCAGGAAAAAAGAATAATTGAAATTTAAAATCATATTTTATTTTTTGAAATTACATAAATATAAAATTTTACTTTTATAATTTTAGTTTTTGTTCAATTGTTTTATTTGTTTATCAACAAAGATAATTAATTTTATTTTAATAAAAATGAAAGTATTAAATTTTTATTTTTATTTTGATAGTCATAATGATATAATTTGAATCAATCAATTCAATCAAATTTGTGTAGCTAGTATGTGAAAATAATTAATTATTATTTAATTATGGATCCAAAAATTCTTCCAATATCATTTGCAAAACTTAAAATTACTTTTGAAATTTGTTAAAAAAGTTTACATTTTTCTATTAAAAGTTGGAAGTCTTCATTATATATGCGTGTGTGTGTGTGTGTGTCTTGCAAAACTATTTCAGTTGTTGGAAACTTGTATTAAGTCTCGTATGAGATAATTGTTATGGGAGGAAATTATTTCAGAACAAATAAAAAAGGTAACATCAGATGTTATCAGCAAATCCAAAACAAAACAGATATATTATAATTTTGATGCAATTCTACAGTATCAAAATAAGAAGAAACCTTTTAAAATCATAAAATGAAAATAAATAAGTTACAATACTGTAAAATCCTTTCGGAGACCGAAATGCAAAACTATTTATTTGCTTTTTATTATTTTATTTTATATGGTGTTAAGTGAGAGAGTTTTTATTTTACCATTTAATACAAATAATTTATTATTTAAAGTAATAATTTAGTATAAAACAAATAGTTTCTAAAAATTTTTCTTATTATTTGCGTCAAGTACCGTTTATTTGCTGCAAGTAGTTGAGGGAGAACATCAGCTTGGATTTACCTCTTATGGTTGCTTATTTTGTACACACGAGGAGAGTTGAAGGAAGTTTGAGTTTTCTTTGCCTTTAAGGCTAAAATGACAGGGAGTTGATGTGGATAAAAAATTAAACATGTATTTCTCATTGCACGAGTGGATGACATATCATTTTTCTTTTCAGATGTTTCTTTTCTCACTTCACGCTGATTTTGATTGAGTACATAGAAATGATTGAAGCGACTAACAAGTAAGAAGGAGATGATCCTCTTGATCTTGCATCAAGTGAATAACTTTTTCATATATGGCCCCAATTCCTCTTACTTCCTAGTTTGATTCCTATGCTTGTTCAAACAAAATACTAGAAATTAATGCTTCCATTTTAAAATAAACACCACACTTGGTTTTTTTTTTCTTTTCTATATTTTGTTCATTTTTATTTATCACGGATTTAGCCTAGTTCAAAGAATTAGGATTCATATAATAAGACAAAAGTTAATATTTAGTAGTTTTAATTTTTTATTAACATCTTATAGGAGTTGTCTTATATAAAACAATAGAAGTCTAATAATGAAAAACAAATAAGAAAATAATTTTAAAATAAAAAGCTTTTTATAGGAGATACAGGTGCAACTAATTTCCATATTGTTTATTTTTTTAATAGTTTTTCCACTTTAATTTTTTTAAAAGTTTAATTATTTTTGATATTTTTATTATTTTATTTGAATAGGACAAACACTTTTCAATTTTAAAAAAATAAGAATTAATACCCTCGTTATAACTAGATATTAAACTCATCATTTTTTTGTTATAAATGAGAATTGATACCACAAGAGTTAAAGGCTCGTGGTCAAATTTTGTTCTAATTTAGTTTATCTTTAAAGTCTCATTGTCTTATATTAATATCTTTGTTGTACTTAATAGTGGTTATTTTAACTTAACTTTGTAGTTTATTAAAATAATCATAAATAAGAAATCAAAATAATTTTGTTGGTTTCATATAAAATTGGAGACTACTTGTGCTATGTTCTATTTTGCCAATAGTAATAGATTAAAAACTCTAGTTGTTCTGCTTAGTGCTAAACTAGGAAATGTAATAGATTTTAGCACTAGGAGCCTTATGTTTACCAACATAGAGAATTAATGAACGATCTTAGTTAATGGATGGAAGCTTCCTCATTCACAAATCTCTTCAGTAAAAGAGTGTATGATTCTAACAATTTATGTAACTGCAAAAAGACAGACGTTTATTAATGTAAAAAAATTATTTACCATACAATTTATAGTTGAAAGAGTTTAATAGAAAAGAAATATCTTTACAAAACCTTCATACTTAGAAAATTTTTTTGTCATAATCAGCAAACTTTTTTTTTTTTCTAATTAAGCATTTAGTGTTTGATCATCCATTTCGTCATTGGTTATAAAAATTTGCAATTGCAAAAGGCGAATTTGGTTGCTATGGGAAAGAGACAAATGTAGATTAATATATTAAAATTATTATGAAATTGATCAAGATATCTTAATTTATGAAAAAATCAGTTTTTTTTTTTAAATACTATACCGTTAATATAATTTTATCTTTTATAATATACAAACGAGAAATTTTTAAGAATTACGCAGTTATAACCAGATTTTATTTGAAGGTTAAGTGTAATCTATATAATTGTGTATATATATACACATATATAATTGTGTTGAAAATTTAATTTTAGAATGTACAAAGATTATGTATAATTAAAATTTTTATGTGTATTTTAAAACCAAATTTATACTTGCATAGATTTATGGATTTTTGAAAGTATTATTGATAGCACAAATATAAAATAAAAAAATATAAAACTGAATAAAACATATTTTTAATGTTATATTGTAGATCTATATATTATATTATTATTATAATATGTACATGCATATATATAAAGTTGAATTGGAAGTTTTACATTCGTTAACAAGAAAATATGCATTCATGTATTTATCCAAAATGCCCATGGGCCATCAAAATTTTAAATTAGTGTAGCTTAAAACGAAATTAATTATTAGAAAAAAATTAATGCATAAATCATAGTTTAAAAGTGTTATTGATAAAAATATATAAAAATAATACTACAAAAATAATAATAACGTATATAAATTTAACATTATAATATAAACTGTAATTAGCTGAATTAGTTACTGATTGATTAGTTGTAATTAATGGGTAATTAAACTGGTTACCCTCATACGTACGAATACTGTAAATGTAATTAATGTAAAACAGCTCTCATTTTTTTCTTTTTCTCAGACTCCACGTTTGCTTTAGTCTCTAAATTTTTCTTTCCGGTTCTCAGAACTCAAACCAGATCATAAGGGATTTCTATAAGTTTGTTTCAAGTTTTTCAAAGTGGTATCATAGCAATATATTTCATAAGTTCTCATCTTATCAATTCTGCAGCTGCTGCTACACATCAATGCTCATGCATACATACAACTACTGTATTTGTCTTTTAATAATATAGGCATTAGGATAATATAGAGGAGGAAGAGAGGAAGTAAAGATAACGGTACTTATGAGGGGAGTATTTAGTAATGCTTTAGCTTTTTACTAGTAATGCATTTGTATGTATATTTACAGTCGTAGTTATTGAAGAGAGAAAAGAAGATAAAGAGAAGGAAAGAAAATAATTATTTTATTTCAAAAAAAAGTGAAGTCACATCAAGCATTGAAGAGTGTACAGAGAAAAAGTGAAGTCACCGTCAAGTAGTGAATGGTGTGTATATGTATATATATATATATACATAGAGACCTGCACAAGCCTTGAAATGCTCAGTCTCTGTTTTAAAACACCAATTCATATTTCACAGGTCAGACGTCTCTTTCTTTCTCTTGTCTAAAACTGCAATAAACCCTTTTTTTTTTGCCATATATGTATATATTTTTTAAAACACCAATACATCTGACGATTTTTCCTGGCATCTGGGGAAAAGGAAGAGCTGACACATAAAAGAAAAAAAAAAAGATGAAAAAACTCTATTATCGTATATGTTGGCTATATTTATAGGTGACATTGGCAAACTTTTGAACACGCCATCTTTTTTTCGTCTCGAACACGCCGTCTTCTGCCTCTCGCCTCATCTGTCATTGCCATCTTATAAAGATGAAAATTTAACCCCCTTCCATCAATCACTTTCTCTTCTCTTAAAGATGAAAATTTAACCCCCTCCAAGCCCCAACATGAAATCTCATCATTTGAAACACAAAAAAAACACACCCGCTGGCCCCCCAGCTATTTCTCTTCAATGATCTTGACACTATAAACTTCCACCGTTAAATCATTCCTTTTTTATACTCGACGATGCCAATTACTTTCTCAACAACCTTCCCTTTCCTCCTGTTGGTTCTACTCGCAACTTCAATTTAAAGGTTTTTTATTTTTTTTGTCTTCTCTTTATTTCCCAGCAGCTCGTTTTGTTGTTTTTTTTTATATTAATTAACTTATTATTGTTTTTTTTTTAATTTCCTTTTGTGTTGTTTGGTTGCCAAAGGAGTTAGATTTGATGGGTCAATGGTGGATATCAGTGAACTGGGAAGATGGAGAACATGAGGTGATTGTGGAGATGAGCATTACACATACCTTACCTACGACATTGACGCTTGAGTACGAGTATGAGAAGTGAAGGATTAGATTTGATGGGACAATGGTGGATATGGGGGTGAAGTGGGGAACATGGAGAATGGTGAGATGGTTGTGGAGACAAGGATTACGGATACCTTGCCTGCAGCACTGACGTTTTGGTGCGGGCTTGAGAGCATCAAGGAAGCTTTGGAGGAGTTGAAGCTCAATCCTCCATCTTCTTCTCATTGAATTATAAGATTTCAGGTGCACCTCATTTTGTTTATAGAGTTCACTGTTCATTTTTCTTTTTCTTTTTTTGCAAAATATCTCCTTTTTGCTATGTGGATATGTGATCACTGTTTTAATCTTGTTTCAAACTAGCAAGAAGTGATTTTTTCTTGTCAAGGTAAACAGAATCTATTTTAAATACTTTATGCACCTCTATTTACATAATTTTAATTTGATAGACTTTATGCAGTGTCATCAAAGAACTTAACAGGATAACCATATAACACAAACAATCATGTAACACATAATTATTTCACTAATCTAACATAATCACGTAAATAATTTTATGCTATTTAATCTCTTACTTTTTATTTTGAAGTTATTTAAATTTAATTCATAAAACTACATTTTTGATTAACTAATAAATCAGTTATTAGTTACCATTGATATATAAAATTTTTAGTTATTAGTTAACACATGCCTAGTTTGAGAAGGAGCAAAGTGAGGAAAATGATACATGATATTCATAGAGAATAGGCTGTAGCATTATTAGTTTTTTATAATTACAGGACTTGAATGAGACTTTATTCATTCAAAGTTAAGCTGTTGGATTACGTTAATCTTGTATGTCTTCTTGCAGGCGTTTATGCATACGAGTAACTCTGGCATTTATCATTTTATTTATGGTCGTTTAGCAGATGATTAGACTTTCATTTTTTTACTTTGGAAAAAAGTTGAAGTGTATCTTACAACCCCAGGCAGTTCTACCATACAGTTGAAATTTAATGTTCTTTTAAAAGATGAAAATTGAATCTTTTGTCTGCTTGTATGTGTTTATTCATGCACTTATTTTTTCATACATTTTTAATTTTTTAAAAAACTCAAATCCATCTTACAAGCACAAATTCTAACATACAGTTGAAAATGTTTATATTCCTATAAATGATGAAAGTTGTATTGCGGAGGCATCTTTTCTTGATAGTTTCCTACTGGATTCACTTTATGTTTCTCCAAATTTATGCACCTACTTTTTCAAATTGTTTTTCAAATCCAGCTTACAACCACAAACAACTCTGACATACAGTAGAAATATATTCCCGTAAACGATGAAAGTTGAATTGCTGTGGCATCTTTTCTTGATATTTACTTACTAGATTCATTTTATATTTGTCGAAATTTATTCTTCCAATTGTTATTATTACTCTTTGGACCAGAATCATGTTGTAATTTTTGGTTCACTTCATAACATATCATATAGCTTTACTATGTACATCATGTGCCTGTGAAGAATATCTAATTTGTTGCCATCATGTTGTGGTGTTCACATTTCAGGTTTTGGAAGACATGCGAGGTTTATTGCAAGCAGCAGATGAAAGGAAGCAAGCTGCAGTTGCTGAGCTATCTGCTAAACATCAAAAGGTAATCCAGCACTAACATGCAGTGATTTGGTTCTTAAAGAATTGATCTTCCTCCTTTTTTCTTTATTTTTTATCTCATCTTGCAAGATTGATGATTTACCTATTTCTTTGATGACTTTATGCGGTGTCATCAAAGAACATAATAGGATAACCATATAACACAAACAATCATGTAATACATAATTATTTCACTAATTTAACATAATG